TTATGTTGCTAGAATGGTTTCAGAACTTTGATATGATGATGTTGAGTGTGTACGAAATCCTTTGTCAAATGTCTCAAAATCCTTTTTGAGCATTTACAGCTGTTATGCTGCCGAAATTTTGCTAGAAGTTCTAATGCCTTTGCATTATGATTGTGCTTTCAGATGGCCACTCGCGACCTCAATCAAGTGGTTCGCCTGACTCGATGTCTAGATGTACCCGGCCATACTGCCAAGTTGGTCAGGGTAATGACTGAGGCTGGATACCGCTGGTATCCTGAGTACACGGTCGAAGAGCAATTCCGAGACTTTAATCAAAGCCAGTATCTCTGCACTGTCAGGTTTGACTTCAGCCAGCCGCAGTTGACCACTGACGTCATGCTGACGTCATGCTGGCGCAATAATTATAATTTCTGGATTTAATTTAAATCAGGAAATTCCAGAATATTATTTAAACTTCAAAAATTCATAACTTTTATTCTGTAACTCCAAATTGGACAAATTATATATGAAAAATGATCAGAAAAATCCAATCTATCCATCTGTACTATTTTCATGCATGATCAAACAAGTTAAATTGATGTTTTAAGCAGAACAAGGAAAAGCACTTTAAAAGACCATATTTGGATTTGAAATTTGAATCCTTGATTCAAATTTGTTCAAACCCCTCTGGTTTTAGTTGCATTAGCCCAACACACTCATATTGCCATGTTTCATGCATGCATCATATTGTTGCACATTGTTTGGTGATGCTTGGGTATCGATGTCCTTTGCGACAGGTTCTGCCTCCGAGGAGTACCGTGATTACCCTAACGAAGAACCGTATCAGTGCTTCGAACCATCAGGCAAGCAACCAACCATTTGATCATATCGATACAATCCCATGTTCTCGCTCCTGCTCTCTTTTACTGCATTAAGACAACGCGTTTCAAACTGTTGTGTGCCACGGTAGTTGAACCCATTTCCTCTGCATGACCTGTCATTGCCACAGTAACTAGATGAAACCCACTAGCATGTGTAGGAGTTGATTGAGCCATATGTATGTGTTGTTCCTACCTTGCTATGCCTGCTATGCTTAGAGTCGTGTCAGGTCTGGTTCATCTGGGTGATGGGCTAGAGTGAAATGATTATGTCGGTAATGAGAGTGGTGTGGTGAACACGATTTGGTAAAGGTATCGATGAGAGGCCATGTAGGAGTACATGGTGGGTTGTTTCATTGAAGCCGACCTTAAGCACTGAGATCTGTATGTGTGATTTAAGAATCAGCTACTACCATGCATTGGGCCCGAAACCAATGGACCCTCTCGACTTCTTATTCACCCTAGTTCTCCGTCCAGGAGTTGCAAGTAGTTTCTGGTGTTTGTAGCCTACTGGAGGCCGTGGACAGTGCTGACCGTAAGGGTGGGCTGTGATGCGGTAGGTACGTGGCACGGTGTACCGAATACCCGTTAGGTATCTCGGGAACCCTGTTCACATCGTTCGGGGCCGTATGGGAAACCTCGGCCGGACTCCCTGCGGATGGAACCTGAATAGGCGATAAACCTGGACTGGAGGCTTAGGTGATTAGGTAGGTCGTGGCCGACACCCACGTTGGGCTTCCGCTTGAAGGTTGCCGAGTACATGTCGTGTAAGCGACGGTAAGAGGTGAGAGCGTGTATGAAGAAGTACACCCCTGCAGGGTTATCATGATCTATTCGAATAGCCGCGTCCGCGGTAAAGGACTACTTGGTTGCCTATACAGTTCATAGACAAGTAAATGGAAACTGTTAAAAGCCTCAAGATAAGTGTGAGTGCTGAGGATGGCTCTTCCGTAGGAAGACGGAGGTGGATCCTCGGTAGTGTATTGAAGTGGTGAGTAGTGGACTCGTGTGCGCAAAACTATTTCAAGTTGGAGTATCGTAGGATAGTCTAGCCAAGAGTCAAAGCTGGCTTGCTGCAATAACTCCACCGACCCTTCTTGATACTATGCATGTATGTAGGATCTGATGTAAGTCTTGCTGAGTACCTTTGTACTCATGTTGCTATAATCTACATTTTTACAGAAGACGCTGCAACCCCTTCTGATGGGTTCTATGTAGTCGTTGACATCAACGAGTAGGCTAAAGACCCAGGTGGTGACCCTGAGCTTGTGATGGACCACGTAGTATAGTTAGGCTTCCAAGCCTCTTTTATTTTACTAGTTGTCTGTACCCAGACAAAGTACTTCCGCTGTTGGCTTGTATGACTGTATGACTTGTATGTTGGGTCGTGAGATCCGTACCTTTGTGTATGATATGTATGGCTCCCTGAGCCTTAAATAAAGTATTTGTGTCATAGAGTCATGTTGTGATGCTTCGTTGTATTTGCACATATCGAGCATATTGTGTGTATGATTGAAATGCTTGGTATGTGTGGGATCTGACTATCTAGTTGTTTATCTTTAGTAGCCTCTCTTACTGGGAAATGTCTCCTAGTGTTACCGCTGAGCCATGGTAGCTTGCTACTGCTCTGGAACACTTAGGCTGGCCGGCATGTGTCCTTCTTCGTTCCTGTGTCTATCCCTTCGGGGAAATGTCACGCTTTGAGTACCGGAGTCCTGTTAGCCCGCTACAGCCCGGTTTACCGGAGTCCTGCTAGCCCAGTGCTACAGCCCGGACCCACTTGCTGATGACCGACACGTTCGAAGCTGGGTCATGGATGCCTGTCCCTGTAAGTCTGTGCCACTTTGGGTTTACGACTAGTCATGTCAGCCCGGGCTCTTTATCATATGGATGCTAGCGACACTATCATATACGTGAGCCAAAAGGCGCAAACGGTCCCGGGAAAAAGGTAAGACGACACCCGTGGGAATACCGTGCGTGAGGCCGCAAAGTGATATGAGGTGTTACCAGCTAGATCGATGTGACATCGAGTCGGGGTCCTGACATCGGTCCTGTCCTCTGTCGCCCTTCGACTCCACTTGGATGGCGGCCCACCATTGACGGATGTGCTACGGGAGAAATCCCCGCTGACTTTGTCAGCTGACCACGGCGACGCTACTCCAGCGTCGCTTACCCTCTTAGGGGCGTGGCTCGTGTGCCACTCCTGTCTCTCGGTCCGGATTCGCAGCTCTAGGCTCTGCCCTCTGGGAATTTAACCGGTTATGCTCCAGGCGAAAGCTCTGTGACGGCGTCATCCTCGGATGTCGTCCACCTTCTTGAAGGCGTCACTAGGGAGCTCCTTGCCGCCATTCATCCTCCGTTGCCCTTGGGGGTTGGTCATCCTCTGCTATGCTAGCTCAAGACCCTCTCATGCCTGTCGTCCGTTTTGGTGAGCTTCGTGCTCTTCGTGCTATCTCGGTTCATCTTTGCTCAACAACGACGCAACGATGCCTCCCCACCTTGATAATCGTGTCGGCCTGCTGTGGCGGAGTTTCCAGTTAAGGTTCGTGATGGGTCACTCGTTGATTGGTGCTGCTCCTCTGTTGTGCCAAGGGGTTGGTACGCACGCAGGTGTGGTGCGTTAGGATAGTTGTTTAGTGTTGGTATTGTGTTTCCTCCATGACACACCAATTCCACTCGACTTTTATGGTGGTGGTCTCTTGGCTTGCTGGCTAGGTAGTGCCTTCTTCGGGGCGTCCATATGCTCACCCCCTATGTAATCTTTCCCCCCTATGTGGTTTTTCAGCCCGGTTTCCCTTATAAACGGGGTCAACCTGTTAAGGTTTTCGATCTGGTTTTTCTTATAAACTGGATCAAACACTTGTCATTTTGGCCACTTTGAGCAATATATTCAGGTGGGGAATCTCTCCCCCCCGGTGACCGTTCAAAAAAAATGATGGGTGCGGGGCTGACGTACGTGCATGCGAGCGTTCGTCCGGGAGTTCGTTCTCCGCGCCGCACCTCCGATCCTCCGAAGCATGTCGGTTGCACGCAATATCGCCCGGAGCCGAGTCGCCCGCACGCGCGGCTAAAGGCTGCCAACATCGGCAAGGTCGCGGATTTCGTTGGCCCCGCAGCGCTCTCGGCGCAGTGGACACCGCCGGGCAATGGCCACGTCGTCGACGCTGAGCCAGACGCAGCGGTACGCTGCGGGTGCGCTCCTCGCGCTCGCGCTCCGCCAGGCGCAGATCCACCAGCGCGTCCTTCTCGGCTCCCACGGCCTCGACGAGGGCCCGGACCCTGAGACCGCCGTCCTCTCCAGCGACGACCCCGACGGCCGCGACCTCTGGACCCACGACTCCCGCGGCCTCCTCCGCCCCGTCCTCCGGTCACCCCTCTCCCCCCCTACCTCTCACATGCATGCTCCGTCTCTCGATCCGGCGTGTCATGGTGCGCGCGTCGCGTTTTAATTCTCAGGTTTCTCGAGATCGACCCCAAGGCCTGGCCGGGCGTGGAGAAGACGGCGGCGACCTCCGAGCCCAAGCACCACATTGGAGCCGTACGTGCCAACAATGCCGCATCGTCCGCGTTGAATTCCACCTCCATTTCGACGTATCGTGTGACGTTTCCTCGCGCGCGCAGTTCCTCCGGAAAGTGTTCGAGGACGAAGATGACGGCGAGAAGGCCGCCGCCGATAGGTCCGACCTCGAGCTCGCGCTCGCCAAAGCCGTCGACGCGATGGCGATGGGCCTGGAGAACGACGTTGCACCGGGCGACCTGTTCAAACAACACGTGTTCGGCGGCGACAATGAGGAACAGGAACCGTCTGACGACGGGTCGCCGTCGTCGCCTGGCGGCGGAGGGCGCTCCAAGGACTACCGGAAGATGGCGGTGCTGTACATGCTCCTCTCAGCTTGCGTGGCGGACGTGAACATGGGCGAGGACGGCATGGGGTCCCCCCGCATAAGGAAGGGCTACGACGCCCGCCACCGCGTGGCGCTCCGACTGATCGCGACTTGGCTTGACGTCAAGTGGATCAAGATGGTAATCAACCTCCATTCCTCCAGAATGCGCACAATGAAGTGGCATGCTAGCTAGTTCCTACCGTGCTGAATTTTTCTTTGGCATCGAACACCTTTGGCATTGTAGGAAGCTATCGAGATAATGGTTGCTTGCTCTGCTATGGCTGCAGCGAAAGAGGACGAGAAATCGCGTGAAAGTACGTCGCCGAGAAGCAGGTGGCAGAAATGGAGGCGTGGGGGAATCATCGGCGCCGCCGCCTTGACCGGAGGGACGCTCATGGCCATCTCCGGGGGTGATAATATGTTAAACAATGTCAAAAGCAATCTTGATGAGATCTCTCCGCGAGCTGCTGAAGTAGCTGTCTCGATCTTTTTGCAGGTCTAGCTGCTCCAGCGATTGCTGCAGGGTTCACTGCTCTTGCTCCGACGTTGCACGCACTTGTCCCTGTTATAGGGGCTAGCGGATTTGCTGCTATAGCTACTGCTGCTGGACACACCGCTGGCTCAGTAGCAGTTGCTGCATCATTTGGAGGTGTGCCTTCCACATTTTGCTCCATTAGATTAGATGATGATCCACAAGTCTTTAATCGTCCACACTAACTAATCGTCATCTTTGGTTGGAATCAGCTGCTGGAGCTGGGTTAACTGGCTCCAAAATGGCCAAAAGAATTGGAAATGTGAAAGAATTCGAGTTCAAAGCCCTCGGCCAGAACCATAACCAGGGTGTAGGTGTTTGTTCTCTTTCAGTTGTACACTGGTCCATCCAATGCACTGTCTTGCTGTATTTTCTTTAACAATTACAATGCTGTTTACTGATAAGATGAACTGGGTTTCATGGGGGGGTTTTTTCCTTGCAGCGCCTAGCAGTTTGCATCATGGTTTCTGGATTCGCTTTTAATGAAGACGATTTTTTAAAGCCGTGGGAAGGATGGAAAACTAACTTAGAGAGGTACTTTTTTCTAATACAGTAGTAGTTGCTGAGCACAGCTCTTCTTATTTATATGCCCATTCCTTAGCAGCATATTCTTACGCTTTAATGTTGCAACAAGTAAACAAACACCAGAAATTAGATTTATGATAGAAGAAATTCAGATAACATGGATAGAGGTGAGTTTCGCGTAATTCATGTTTTAGCAACAAGCTTGCATTGAGTAATTGTTTTCAAGAAGAATCTTACCATGCATAACTAGACAACCTTTGCAATTCTCACTGGCAATTGGCAGGTACATTCTTCAGTGGGAGACTAAGCATATAATTGCCTTGAGTACAGCAATACAGGATTTTCTGGCATCAAGTAATGTTCATGATTCATATATAATGTGCGTTCCGCACACGCTTTAAATAATTTTTTATTAAGAGTTGCGGTTATCGCTGCAGGATTTGCAATGGAGCTGATGAGGGAAGGTGCAATGCAGACTGTGTTAAGCGGTATAATTTCAGCATTTGCATGGCCTGCTACCTTGGTAGCTGCTGCAGATTTTATTGACAGTACATGGTCCGTTGCTATTGACAGGTGCCTTCCTCCACTATTTCGTAGTTTATTGTCCTTTCTAACTTAGCCTGCGTTCTTGTAATCTTTTCTACCTGATAAATCTAGTAGATGATTCCAGATCAGATAAGGTTGGGATAATGCTTGCTGAAGTGTTGCTCAATGGACTGCAAGGAAGCAGGTACCTATACCTGAATCATACCAGCAATCTAAATAATTCAGTAAACCCTTTGTGTCTGCATGGAGCTAATTTTCTCCCCCATATCACAATCATTTCCAGGCCTGTCACTCTAATAGGTTTTTCACTCGGTGCGCGTGTCGTGTTCAAATGTTTGCAGGAATTAGCTCTTTCAGGCAATAACGGTACGTATCCTGTGTTTTTTTCTAGACCATGCAGGAGCATAATTAAGTAGAGTACATAACTGTAAATGTTAGCCAATATGGACCGCTTGGAGCTGAGGAATTTTTCTGGTTTATATGAACATTTTGCGAAAGCTTCTCATTCGAAACGAGCCCTGCGCGCTAAATGTCTACCAATATGGAGTTGGTTGTGTTATTCAGCTGACAAATTGAACATGAACAGAGGGAATCGTCGAGAGGGCTGTGCTGATAGGTGCACCGATTTCAGTTAATGACGAGTTGTGGGGGCCTGCCAGGAAGGTAAGGGCAGTAGCTATTCTGACCTTCTTCTCCCCAAGAAACCGCGAGAATTGTTCGTATTGGCATGAATTGAAGAGAATCATACTATCAGGCTCTGCATCAACTGGGAAGTTTGTATGTGAAATCCTACACAGCTGAACCCATATGTATGCATGTGCAGATGGTTGCTGGAAGGCTTGTGAACGTGTACTCCACCAAGGACTGGATCCTCGGCGTCACTTTCCGGGCAAGGTAACTCGTAACCCTGAATGCTCTTTGTTTTTCGTCGTCGAAAAGAGAGGGGGGGAAACCTCGGCCTCTGCATCGAGTGATGCACGAATGCTCTGACAGACTAGCCTCTCCTGCAGTCTGCTCACGCAAGGCTTGGCTGGCATCCAGGCAGTCCAAGTCCCCGGAGTTGAAAATGTACGTCTGCTTGCTTGCTTGGCGCACCCGACTGAGTGAACTCGTTTACAAGGGAGTACTTTTCTTGACTAGGTTGCTGCTCGACTCACGCAGGTTGACGTTAGCGAGCTCGTCGTCGGGCACTCCTCCTACCTGGGACTCATGCAGCAGATCCTGGAGCAGCTAGAGCTCAATACTTACTACCCGGTGTTCTCCCCCTCCACGCCCAGGTCCAGCACGCCCAGATCGAAATAACCGCGATGAACTTCTGCTACTCAGGAACGGTGTTATCTGTGATGAATGTAGTCACCAAAGGCTGTAGCTAATAAAGGAAACTTTTGTTGTAAGGGAACGGAAAAACGATCTGGGTACTTGTAGTCTGTTTTATCCGTAAGTCAGCATTTCCATAGACCAGTTTGACTAGCGAAATACCCGTGCGAGTAAAAAGCTGACACCGAGAGTCTAGAAGATGCGTCATTTTATGCCGGATCAAACCATTGAACTCAAGAACTGGTCGCATTCCATGTGTTGTTCATGTCCAAACAACAGTGGTTAGGAGCAACATTTTCAGGTTCGAAAATTGGTTGGTTAAGCATGAGAATTGTTTGTCCATGTATAGCTCCAGTCTAAGATGATCCAGGCTGCAGTGGCTAAGGGCAGGCGATACTCACTCTTAGTTTTTCATCAAAGCTAATGACCGCCGGCGTAGGAATTGTTGAATAACTAAGCAATCTTTTATTAAGTTCAATCAAAAAAAAAGATAAAACATGATACGCATGATGATCGTTGGCAAAAAAATCAGTCTTTTTTAACTATTCACAAGGGTGCATTTCAGCCCAGGATTAGAAAGTCCATGTCCGCACAGAACTTCTTTTTTCTCGTCATGGGAAAATTGAAGTCGACTCCATTGAACTAAACAGAATGGAATAAATCTGGCTCCAAAAGCAGAGAATCTGCATTCATACTCATCATCAGTGGTCTTTTAAGCGTAAAATGCTATCCAATCGTATGGATATATGTACTAGCATCTGAATGACGCCAAGAGCTCTGTTCTAAGCTGACTACAAAGTGGCTTGTCAGGCTATACAAAAATGTGGGGTAAGGCATGGTACCTTCACAATGTGTTTCCTACCACGATGGTCAACGGTGTACAAAAGAGCAAGATGGCCCCTTCCAGCAGTGGCCATTCTCATAATATTTGCATATTCCTCGTTGAGACTGCCCTCTTGACGATGATCTTGACGACATACCGCTGCCATGATCTTGACGATGATCAGACGACCTCCTAGAGTGGTTCGAGCTACCAGGCCGTGAATCATTGCCCTGATAGCTACCCCGTCGTGATTCGTTGCCATGAGAGTGCCTATCATGGTGTTGATTCGACTGGCTGCCTCGACTAGCACTGCCAGAAGATGGATGCCAGCTCTTGTTGCTCCCTGGTGCCTCTCCCCAGCCAGCAGAATTTGAATTGGTGCTTCCCTGTCTCCTTTGTGCTTCTGCAGAGCTTTTAGCTGTTGGTGTTGTTTGGTGACCTGAAGACGAGTTACGGTTTTGGCTGCCACTCTTGAAATTCACCTTTGAACTCTCACGGGCTGACGAATGCCGACCTGGAGTTTTTCTCCCCTCTGGAGATGAACTTGATCGTAACCAGCCTGAGGCTTGTGTGCTTCCCTCTAGAGATGAACCCCAACCTGAACCTTTTGTGCCTCCCTCTAGAGATGAACCCCAACCTGAACCTTTTGTGCCTCCCTCTAGAGATGAACCCCAACCTGAACCTTTTGTGTTTACCTCTAGAGATAAACCCCGCCCTGAACCTTTTGTGCTTCCATCTACAGATGAACCCCAGCCTGAACCTTTTGTGCTTCCATCTACAGATGAACCCCAGCCTGAACCTTTTGTGCTTGTCTCTAGAGATGAACCTGATTGCCATCCTGAAGCCTTTGTGCTCCCCTCGAGAAATTGGCCTGATGCTTGCCTGCCTGAAACTTTTGTGTTCCCGTCCAGGAATGAGCCTACCGGTTGCCGACCTGAAGCTTTTGTGCTCCCCTCCAAAGATGAGCCTAATGGTTGCCCGCCTGAAGCTTCTGTGCTCTTGAGAGATGAGTTCAACAATGCAGCACTTGGTTTTAGTTTTACCTAATCAAGTCAGAAGTAACATGTTTAGTTGGACTTCAATCCTCAGATATTTAGAGGATCATGTTGCTAGGATTTCTCTTTTTGAAAGACACATCACGCTTGGACCTCAAGCCCTAGATATTACAAATAAGGATTACCTGCCCTGGCACTCCACAATCTGTGGAAGCACTTGGGTTGCCTTTTTCCATCTTTTCCTCTGGTGTTGGTGGTATTTCACCAACAGCGCTATTGCCTCGGGCTACTACTGCCTCCTCTAGAATGCATGAAGTATCTTTTCCATCAGCTCCAAGATCTGTAGAAGATGGTGTAAGATTCTCTGTCAAGTTAACAACAAAAACAGGAAAAGACTATCATTTCATTACCTGAGGAGGGTTGGAGAGCAGGTGTTGGTGAAGACAATGACCAGATGTCATTGCTTGGGTCATCTTGAACACCCCACAGAGCAGAATCAACAGCTCCGCCTTGATAGTAACTAGGTTCACCCCAAGGAGATAGCGCAATAGGGCTAGAGCACTGCGGCCTTTCTTCCTCAGCTGAAGCTGGGTTGACATTTTCCAAAGGCATTCCAGCATGCACATTATAAGTTCCACAGTTTGGTTCTGTCAAAGATCCCAGCACATCACAAACTCCAGCATCAGAGACAGAACTAACAGTTATGTTATCTCTCTTAGCTGATGTGGCATCTCCTTTTAGTGGCGCTGTTTGAGTGACACAGCCTCCATCTTTTAGATCTCTTTCTTCTACACATGATGTTTGTGTTTCCTTAAGTAATTGCAAGCCAACAAATTTACTTGAAGGCGGACCAGATGTTTCTGATACGAAATCTATTGAAGAGTGGTCATATGCCTTTGTAGCTGAATCTTCAGGTGCTACTGATGTTGACCCTGACTTGTTCATCACAGGCTGCTTCCTCTCAAATTTTGGATTTGGACTGGGATATTGATCTTGAGTGCCAGGGGATAACACTGAATCAATTTTAGGCTCAAAAAGTTGATTAACTGAAGCATTTGATGCATCAGGGGGGCATGGTTTCTGCAGATTCATGATCTCCTTGGTCTTGCCAACATTATAGCCAATAGGGGAAGTAATGTTTCCAGTCATACTTGGGTTAATTCTATCTTGCCCAGAGCCTGCCCATGCAGATTTATTATTGTTAATAACTGGCGTAGGTTGAATGATATCTTTCTGCTGTGTTGAGAGCACTTCAGTCAGCAACAATGAGTTCTCTTCACTCTCAAATGTGAGCCATATCTTCATGCCACTTGGGAAATAAGTAGTCCACTTGGATAGCTGTGAAAGAGTAAACGGGCCCTGAACATTTCCAGAAGGGTCCTTGTAGTGCCATACTTTTTCTGGCTCCGTGTCACTTGATACAACCCCAGATGACGGAACTGATGCAGCATCACCCGCTGTATTATTTAAATCAATGCGAGGCCGAGGAACATTCCATCCATTTGCTGCCTGCAAATTAGTGATACTTCCTGCTCCTGGTATATGTGTTACGCCCTCCATAGGAAGATTTAAACTAGAGTGACGACTAGCATCGGAACATTTTTGTGACAGGTACTGCACAGCGTTTGATTCTGTCCCTTCTCTTCCAGGAAACAGAAGACCTGGTCCATTCCTATTTATGCTCAAATCAACTGCATACAAGTCAATAAGTTCTCAGAAAATTAATATTTACTAGTGGAACACACCATTGTAGAATATGATTAACAGTCAACAGATGAAGTACCAGTTGTTTCATCATTCCATTCTTCAGCAGATTCATAAGTAGGAGCCATATGGGGGTCAACATGTACTTCTGGAACTTCATTAATCTTGCGTGCTATTTCTTCAGGAGTGTTCAGAAGTTGTAACTTCTCTACGCACTCTCTTAGTGTATGACATAGTTAAGGATCATCAAATGAAGGTAGCACCAATAACAACACTTAAATGAAGAGCACACATGATTACCTATCTTATGCAAAAAGAAAGCCAAACATAAATTGCTTGAGATTATATGACAGGATAGATGCACATGCAACATCTTGAGAACACTGAATGATAGCTCGGGTTTAAAGATGAAAGATGGTTTCCACCATATCATTTTATGTAACACAAAATAAAGGAAGGATGAGAACAATAAGAAGTTATTTATCTCCATTAAATGACGGTCACAAAATATTGTGTTCTCTTCATAAAGATAACCCTCAATAAGGCCGATACTATTCGGTAAGTGCGAGAAAAGAAGTTCGGAGATAAGAAACTCCAATTGAAGACAAAACAACATGAAACAAAAATAAGCGCCAAAGAGGTTGTGAGCTAAACCCGGTACCTAACAATCCCATGTAGTATCTTCGTTCTCCAGAGAGGTTATGAGAAACTCTCAATAAAAAAATTACAAATTCTAAACCCTACAATAGCACCGTCCTTGGTCACAAATGTTACAAGTTAAAGTTTGCCAGAATAAATGTGTCCTCGGGCCAACAAATATGTGCACAATGGTAGTTTATTTGATAGCTTTAAAGGTTCAGGCTATGGTGAGCATATGCATGCAAAGCCGTGACCAAACAATCAAGGACCAAAACAAGATCTTCACACTATACGACCCACAGAAACACCAACACCAACGCAAAGATAAAAAATATAACAATAGCTCAACATGGTAAGTTAGAAGGATATTCTTTTCGGCGTCCAGTTTCGCTAGCACGGTCACGGAGATGGCTCAGCCTCTGCTTTTCATTTACCAACCACTGAAAAGGATTTAACACACAATAAGTGCTGTTAGATCAAGCTAGAGAACCTATCGGTTATTACCAAATAAGCAACCTCATCAAATCGCCAGCTTTTATTTGTTAGTGTAGTACTTACATCATTAATTTGCAGAGATTGGAAGCTTTTGGCTATCTCATATATGTCTCCCTGAATTAACAAGATGAAGAAAATAATTCAGATATACACAATTTGGTAACTTAGGTATCAGACGGATCATCATAAATTGGATCTTGATCAGCAGTACCACTTTAAGTCGAGGAATTAGACCATACTTCATGCTCTGGCGTAAGCGTTTGCATTCATCCTACATTATACAAGCAAACAAGCCAGTTAGATAGAACAAAACATAAGAGACACTCACCTAACACTACCCCCACATTCAGCAGTCCGAAAATTACATCTAAGAGCTAGTGAAAAAAAGGGGGAGATAGAGATTGGCCAACATATACAGTGGTGATACTGAATCATAAGGTCTATAAACAAGAATATTGTTGCATCAAGATCCAAATCCAACAATCAAATTCAAATACTAGATTGATTCTTGGAAAGCAGATAAGACACTAAAGATGTTAAAAGCTTGCGAAAAAGAGAAGTGGGTTTGTAAATGATCGACAATAGCCCCTTATTGCACAATACACATGATCAAATAAAAGATGTCCAAATCCAGCGTCAAAATTAGACATAACCACTAACAAATTCAGGAAGGCAGTATTGAGACACAGCACCAACCTTTGATGGTCGTGTGTCATTTACTATAGACTATAGTAATTAGTAAAATACATTATGAATAGTCGTTTCTCGTGATTCTAGCACAACAACAAAGCATGTTTCTTAAAAATTGAAACAACGATTTTGTAGCTTAACGCCTTAACTAAACATTAAAGTTGTGCATTGATAATCTAAAATGTGAAAATAGTTGCCAATTATAGTCATTCATAATGTATTTTTACAATCTAATGTATGTTTCACTGAAAGTGTATACTAAGTTAGTTAGCCAACAAAAACATGCCAACACCTAACAGCATTTCGGGTCAGTGAAGGCTCACCCGATACTATAGGTATCAAACAAATAAATGTATAAGCAACACGCATGCATTACCTGCGTGAAATCCTGATTTGAGATCGTATCCATTGTGATCACTTCCTTCTTATCTAAGTTTGATATCTCAAGTGCACAGTCTGTTGTCTTCTTACCAACACTGTATCGTTCTGCAACTTTATGTGTACCTGCATACAAAATCATTTTAGTTAAATTACAATTGAGTAGCTAATATTGGTAGGTAAATCAGTCAGGAGTAAAAATCTTACCAAGAACTTTGACTAGGCGATACATATCTTGCTTTTGGCCAGAACCCGGAATTCTTATCCTCACAAAAGCACCAGTAATCTTCTCAGAGAATGTAGCAACATCATCAATGATATCCTCCATCAAGCTGCGGCGTAAGTATATTAAATTGATGTTATGCATGTCAATGGCTGCATAATCCTCCAGATTAGCTGGTAGATCTCTTTCAAGCTTCTTATGAGTCTTCCTCCTCTTATCAGAGCTTAACTTAGTTCCCATCTCACTATGTCCTCCACTATCTACTTGTGCTGAATCTGGCTCACGGGCTAATTGGGTATCACCATTTAATGCTGGAGTCTCTTTCACATGAAGATGGATCTCCAAAAGTTTTAACATCTCAAAATGACCAACACGTGGTTTCCTAAACAGACTACTAAGCCTTGCATCACAAATAATTTGACTTTTTTTGCGAGGGTCGCGAAGATTATTTTGCTTTATGTACTCAAGCAACAGAACCTGAACATCAAATTGGGAAATTTGGGACACATCGCCATTTCTCATGTGCCCAATGAATTCCAGCAGCTCCGGTGAGGCCCATTTCGTGTCACCCGACAAATCCATGCCTTCAAATGGTGCTCCCTTGGGTAAGCTTTCGGAACCTTCAATTGAAATTTCACAGTTCCTTGCAGTATTAAGACTATGATTTTGACGCTTCCGCCCCCTTTTCCTTAAAGAAGTACCCCGACTTCGTTTCCTCGAAGAGCTGTCAGAACTGACATTATGGTCATTGTTTGCTTCATATCGCTCACCAGATGACTCCTCTTTTTCTCTCCTAGCAGAAATGCTTCGAACAGTCCAATTGCTTTTGGCACTAACTAGTTCTTCCAATGTTAATAAATGCTTCCCTTTTACATCCAGCCAATATAATTTGAAGAGATATTCCCAACTATTTTTATCATCAAAATCAACCATCACCTGGCATCGAAAAAAAAATATGATAACAAGTCCATATGACACATCGCAGGCACATAATCAATCAAAAAGGAAACAGGAATAGACCATTTCATGATTTATGCAAATCAAACCTAGAATGGAAGTATTGCTTGTTCCTAGCATCTATCTATACAATCTTTGTCCCAAACAAAGCAGATTTCAACTTTAATAGTATTGCATGTTGCAGGTAGGCCTCTGCCAAAACAGCAGATTTCCGCACTGCAAAGGACTAGACGATGGCCAAATGCAGTACCAACAAGGCCCCAAGAAAGTGAACAATTATCAAGCATATACCCGCATGGAACTTCTTAAGGGCATTAAAGTTAGTTGCAGTAAATCTCAGTCATCTAAGCTAAAAAAAGGAGAATCACCATATGTTCAGATATCAGCAAACAAAGTGTAGATATTACAAACAACAGTCCAAGCAAAATTGCATACTAAAACGGATAATGAGTGAGCACAATCAAATTTAGCCATCATATGACGATGGTGTGCCGATTCGGCAATTTAGGTATGATCGTATCAGTACTTATACTTAGTATCTAGTTTATTCAAATGCATCAGAATGGAAATTAGGTCACACAATCATTATGTATTGTGCCTTTTGAAGGTGACATCAGAGTTCCGTGGTTGCATATCTGATTCA